GATAAATTCATCATGCAGAGGTTCATCATCTGCCTGTGGCACCCTATTTGTGGAGACACAAACTGTATATTGTAATATAGAATATTTTTTTCTATTTAGACAAGTGGGTCTAGACTCTTCCCTTAATTTGGGGAGCCAAATCCGTCATATGCCACTGTGATTGGCACAGCTGTTTAAAAGTTGAGTGAGATGAGTAATGTGACTGGCTGAGAAGGTAATGATTCATCACCACACCCTCTTATTAATATCCCACTTCACCCAACACGCCTGTCGAGCGTGGAAGTGTGGATGCTCAGTGAAGAGCAAAAATAGCAGGTGTGCACCGATATGCCTCCATTATGCCTCATGTGCACATGACACAATACTTGCGTGCATCGTTGTCAATGCGTAGCTAAAATAGGCAATATGGCCGAGCTAATTTTCATTACAGTCTTGTTAAACCATCGTTTGGAAATATATTTCATTTCATTGTATGCATTTAACCCACTGTCTTTTTCTGAGTGACTTGACATTTATTGCGCGAGTAACACTTAAATTACTTTTTGTGGTTTAGCCCAGTGCTCACTTTACCAAATATCTACTCAGAAAAGTAGTTAGTTGATGCACAAATTATTACAGCATGTATGTTAAGTAGTCATAGTTGATTAGCATGTCCCCAAAATTGAGAAATACGAACAGCAACAACTGACAAGATAAATGTATTTCAATTGACAAGTTAGGACCTTCCCACAAGTGCCATTTATTCTGGCCAATTCAACTTTAGATCACAAAAAAAATTGGATAATGCTAGTCATCTAAACAGAAATGAAGTGGAAGAGATATAGCCAGAGAGACCCACCAGTGGACGAAGAGTATAAGCGCTCACAGAGAGAACATTATTCTGTGTTTTGAGTGCCTGGTAGCATTTCTCCTTGCTTGCTTTGAGAGCAGTGGTATTCACAAAGCATGGTCAAGCACGGTCAAAGGCCAATAGTGTCCTTGTCTTTCTTTCTCTCCACTGCATGGCTATCAATCAGACCGACTAGCCAAAGACAGATCGACTGAAATACATGCACGGACAAACACACGGACATAGACTCTGAAACTTACACACAATCCTTTCCTGGAAAATGTAAGCAAGTTTCTCTCTTCCGCACTGTTGGTTTCCCACCCCTCCGTGACTTCAGCTGACTTTTATTCATCATAACCGAATGAAAAATATAGATTTGCCCCTGGAGATTAGAACAAAGAAAAAATTAATGTATAGACATAAAGGAAATAGAGCATGAAGGAGTGGGAAATATCGAGAGGAAGAAAAGTGAGTGAAAGAAAGAAAGACAGAAAAAGGTGAGAGATGAGGAGAAAAAAGAGATGGCCTCCCTAAGTGCAGCAACACACAGGCACAGAGCTGTGAGTTCCCAGGCAAGACAGCATGAGCTGCCTATTTGTCAGCATTGATCAACCCATTAAGGGGCTGTGGTGGGAAGCATATTGGTTTTGGAGGCCAAAGGGGCAGAGAGAGACAAAGATAAAGCAAGACGGGGGGTGTTGAACTCCTTTCAGCCTCTGCAGCCACACGTCTGTAGGATGAAAAAGCCTGTAGTCTTCCTCTCCAATGTCTAGATGCAGTTCGCTTTGCAGGGCCCAAGGGGAAGGTAGTAGATGTCATTTGTCTTGCAGCATCTCTGGAGGCTCAACTGTATGTGTTATCTGCTGCCGCAATGATAATAAGAAACTAGCTAGTTTCTCAGACACACGTAATGTCACTTGTCGTCTTGCTCAGTGTGTTTGTATGTGTGTGTGTGTGTGTGTGTGTGTGTGTGCAAAGGGTTGGTGTTGGGGTGGGGGTGGGACCTGGCCTTAGGGGAAAGCAGGCTGCCTCTTCGCCCAGCCTCTGATGAATTCATATAATTAACTCTGCCTTGATCTGTTGGCTAATCCTGCACTCAGTAATAAGGGATTAAAATGTCACCTAAGCCACCTGCTGTTATTGAGCCCCTAGACTTTTTGTGCCTATGTGTGTGACAGTGAGAGAGAGAGGGGATAAAGTAAAGTGAAGTAAAGTAAAGTGAAGGATTTCTGTGCATTAGCGTGTGTGCTAGAAACGTTTCCTCTGTTTGCACAAGAAAATGTATGCAGAGGGCACTATACAGTAGCTCAGAGAATCAGACATCTTAACTACTGCCATATGCAAGTGAGCGCAACTCACAACTCCATAGTTTGGCAACAGGCTGAACTCCATAATTTGGCAGGAAGCTGGAGCAGAAGTTGCGGCAGACTCGCTCTGAAAACTCATTGTCACAGTCATTAAAAAGGGACATGAAAGTGGGACATGCTGGAAGGTGGGAGTTGAGAAATCTTTTTTTCCTCCTTTCTCACCATGACCTCCTTGGACCAAGTAAAGAAAAAAAGAAGAAAGAAAGGAGTGCCAATTGGTTGGCTAACAGCCCCCAGACCAACGACCAGCTTGCCTTGCCCGCCTGCCTGCCTGCCGGCCACCTCCGCTCGGTTGCCTAGCAACCCCAAGTGTACTTTTGGGTTGTCTAATGGCTCTTGTTGCTGCAGTGGCTCAGGGGCTACTAATGAAGCCTCTTGACCAATCGCTGCTGTTTAAGACCTGGAAGCTGACTGATCACTTGGGGCTCCAGGCTACCCTAACCCTCTTATGTGAGACAAATTCTGCCCCCAACCTGCGCTGCTGTCAAGACACCCTCATACACACACACACACACACACACACACACACACACACACACACACACACACACACACACACACTCTTTCAATATGTACACACCTTAACTTACTGCTTACAATGCTTCAGCTGACCTTAATTCTCTCCGCTGCACACTCACATACATCAATGCTTCACCCTACCTGAACTTTACCTCAGACTCACATGTAAACATACTCAGTGCAATACTGATGGCTGTTATTCACCCAGAAATAATAGCATGTAACTGTCCCTCTCTGGCTCTTTAAGGCCATACAGAGATGATAATAATGATGCTAAGGGCCCCTTTTGCCCTTGATTCACACTATAAACACAAACCAACAGGACTCTATGTGTACTCCATTTTCTCAGAGACTCAGTAAGCCTGCCTCCGACACAGTAATGGCTATAGTTCAAACATCTGGACTCACAATCTTCCTTGAGAACATATGGAAAAGGAAAGAAGCATTAGTCACCTCTGCTTTACTTTTAATGTTAGGACACATAAAATATGCTAGAATCTTGCTGTTGGCATTTGGATAATGTTTATTCAGTGACTAACGGTGAGTCAACAGGTCAGCGTCCTTCCCAGTGATGCTTCAACTAATCAGACACTGACAGGTGCGGAAACCCAGTGTATGACCTTTGTATTTCCGTTCATATAAGGATGGTCATGGTAATTGTAAGGCAACATACCCACAAACACTACACTGTAAGACAAGATGTGACTCTAATCACTGCCAACTTTCAGTATTGCTTTTGTTTGTTAGTGCCTGCAAAGTCAAACAGTATCGATTTTGTCCACCTTAGGAAAAACATGTGCCTAAGTTTTTACATATTTGCAGACGAATTTACAGTTAGCATTTACATTTGTGTAGAGATTAGTGTGTGTGCACAGGTCCAATTGTATGGGCATGACTGCGCCTACATCAGTGTCTCTGTCTGTGTGGCTTAATTTGCTTGTCTTTGTGATGCGTCCGTCATCACTTTGTTCCAGTGTCACAGCATATTGCTAGGCGAGTACATTACGTCCCCAGGGTGTCACCATGTAAACACTTGTCTATACATGTCCAGCAGTCTTAGGTCTATATTTGGCTGTAGTCAACTGCTGTCAAGTGCTGCGTTGCCTGAGGGCCCAACACCCACTGTGCTGCCCTAGCTGACTGATCTGAGGGGGCAGTACCGTGTGCCATTCACTGGCACTCACACGTTGGACCTGTTTGCATGGCCTAGTTAGAAAGATAGGCCCACAGCCGACTGAAGCCAGAAAAACACCATGCCAAATATAAAACACAATGCCAAATATGACATGCGTGGGTAGTCTCAATAAGCAAGGGTCTTCGAGGGTAGCTGTTAACACCCACCCTTTTCACAGTGGAAAGAGGGGATATTATTCCTGTTTCAGAGAAGGCACAAGATTGAGTGTTTTTCTGTTTTCATATTCAAACTCCAGGGAGTGAGGAAAAAAAATTAAACTATAGACAAGGGAGCAAAAATAACCAGGGGAGCTTTTATTCATGGCAGGCAGTTTTTAAAAGGTTTTTTTTTTATGTTAGCTTGGCAACGTTTTGCCTTCACCTCACTATAGAATGGATCTTCAAAGGTTGTTTATCGATTCCCTTCTGTTAACCTTTCACAAGCTGTTTCACAGCTACACTGCTCGGTGGCTCTCAATAGCTTGCAGGAGGAGGACGCTGGGGCAGGGTGGGGTTGGCTGTCCACACCAGTGGCATATTGGCCATGAGTTGCAACAGGGCTTGGGAGTAGACAGGCGGGAGAGGGGGAAGGTATAGAGGCAGAGAAAGAGGGATTGCTGAGGGTCAGGGATGAGCACAATATACAGTAGCTGGTGACTGGGAGTCTGGAGCCAGGAGGGGGACATGACGAGCAAGGGCCAGCCTGAAAGGACCTCTCCCTGTGGGTCTGGGAGTGGCTGATGTAATGGCATTAATCTCCAAGTGCCATCTGACACCCAGTGTGGCTCCGTCATTGAAAAGTGCTAATTCTGCTGAACTGTGAGGGGAATTCAGACCTCTCTAGAGGCAATGCCCTGGATTAATTAAACAGGCTGGCATGGAGCAGTGCACAGATTCATCTCTTTTACAGCATCATCACTGTTTGATTTTTGCATTCAGCTCATAGAGCAGGACAAACTCAGGACACTAACCCCAGGAACACTGTCACTTTTCAGTTGTTCTTGTCCCACTTCGCGTATTATAGAGGTTGCTCCTATTGTTTTGTGCTAACCTGGGATTTCCCTTCTCTTCCTCCTCTCTTTCTTTCTCTACCTTTACCTCTCTCTCTCCAGATGAACCGGCCCATCCAGGTGAAGCCAGCCGACAGCGAAGGACGAGGAGGTAATTAACCTTCTCCTGGTCTCTGTTGCACATCCCCATAAAAAACACACACGCAAACACACAAATACACTGGAACAGCGCACACGCAATCCTTAATATTCTGCTCTCACTTGAGACACTCTGGGAGTTAGTAGAGTAGCCCATAATATAGGTCACTTGCTTCTATTGACTTCCCATCTGTGCCAGCAGAGGGGCTGTCTCGGGTTCACAGTCACTGGGAGTGGTTCAAAGACAAGACAGAGAGACCTGGAGAGAAAGAGAGTGAAATAAAAGAGAGAGAAAGAGAAAACGGAAAAGAATGGTGAGCGTATGTATTCCATCAATCACTCTCCATAGTAAAGTCTGCTTACACATAAGAGGCAGCGGAATATACCAACATACAAAGACACAGATAAGCACAAACACACACACTTACAGAAGCTACTAGATGGAGAGAGACACCATTATTTTGACTGAATGTGTTTTAATTATTAGTCACTGAATGAAGGGAAGAGTGGGACTTATCATGATTTAAGGACTTTGGAACCTTGTTGTGGTATACATCTGTTTTTGTCTAGAAATAAGAGCACAAGTAATTAATTGTTATACACAGTCCCCGTTTTACGTCTCTAAAATCAACACACATATGTACAGCACAGTATCCACTATAAATGTACATACCTACCTACCTACCTACTTCTCTATCTACCTAGCTACCTATCTGTCTGTCTGCCTCATTAATAGGACTCTCACATGATTACACAGGGATAATATAATATAGTATAGAGTTGAACTCTATAGACATAATGTATATGCATCAGTGGGTGCAGTTCTACAAGTTAAATAAGATCATTTCTATTAAAAGAATATTCTTTTTCAAAATGTAAACCTGTGCGTTTAAAGCATGACTTGTGACATTAAAATGTGAAATTCTGCTTTGACATGGCACTGATTCTCTTGCACTGCCTTCACTCTCCATCTTCAGTCTGACTGACATGGTGATTGACTAGATCATTCTGAAGCCATTTGTGACTAACATCACTGAGGTTAATGCAGATTAAGCCAGTTAAAGATTTACATGGGTGGAATTGGATCTAATTGAACCGGTCTGTGTCTGCATTTCAGAGTGGTGATTTAGACAGCCTAGGTCAGATTAGACTGAGCCACTTCGCTGATTTATGTGGTCAAGTGTGAATCAGATGGCCCATTTCTATTGCCACACACACCCCCATGTAGATCTTATTTTTGTCATGGCGGCACTTTAATTAACGGCCATCTAAAAACAGGCAAAGTCTGACCGACAAGGCCTGGGCGAGAGCCAATCGGCATTCTCACCAAGATAAATTGGATCTCTGGGCTTAAGAGGGGAGGATGGATGGGTCCCAATATCAATTACTACCCTTTTTCAGCAGAAAGAGAAGGGAGATGAACAGGCAGTGTGAATGAAATACAGAGGGCTCTTAGGCTGGCACAGCCCCTGCTAGTCTGTCAGATGAACTTTCTATATGGGAGGACAGGATAGGACACAGCACAGAATGAAATAAGACCAAGCAGACAGGCCCCAACAGAGATATTGAACATTAATGGCAACAGGAAGTCAGCAGACAGACCATGGAAGTAAACCAGAGTCGCAGCTGACAATGAAATGAGATTTACTATGAATGTCTGCGGTTAAAGGAAAACAGACAGCCCAGCTAGGGCTGACTAAAGGAGAGAAAGTAGCAAAGGATTCATCTGTGGAAGGCTGAGGACCAGTCAGGTATACCAATCCCAGTGGGGCCTCTAGATTGTCAAACCCAGGGCTGAAACGGGACATTTGCACCTCGAGAATGGAGTCACATTTATCACTACCAAGACATCAGCAATTATCTGTCATGGGAACTCGTGCAGGGGTCTCGATTACGTGCCTGTGCAGGCATTAGGGCCCATTACTCCATTTGGAGACTCCAGTAGCCTATCTTTTGTGCACAACGTCCCTGAGAGATGTCCTCTCTCTGGGGATATGGGAGTGTCAGGAGGAGAGGTAAAACCAGAGTTCAGAAAATGTCTAGGGGTGCCCTGCGCCACACAGTCCTGCCACTCGGCTGGCATTGTGGATTGCAGAGCTGAATCTCTGGCTGTCTGTTACAATGACTCATGTCTTATTTTATCCTTTCCTTGGATTATCAAGAAAGAATTGAGCATGGGAAGAGCGCTTCACAGCCTTTGAATCTATTTCTGTTACTTGAGTCAGCCGACCTCTTCCCCACAAAGTCCACATTTATCTGATGTGCTTAACAGCACCCCCCCCCCCCCCCCCCCCCCCCAATTCTATCAAACCACAGTTTCAACTCAGAGATACTGAGACACGATCGAGCCATGGGTCTTCTGCTCACTTGCTCTGCGGTCAGTGAAGGAACAGACAGGTTACTCTATCTCCACTTGAAACCCAAGCAATTTTCTCCAACTCAAAAGTGGCAGAAATGAGGAAAAGTAGACATCTCTTGCTCTCTCTCTATTGCTTCCTTTCTTTCTCTTTCTCCCTCTCCTTGTCTCTTTGGTACTGCAGTGCAAAGGGAGAGATGAAGCGAGTGATAGAGAGAGAGGTGGGGATTCAGTACAAGTCTCATGGAGGAATGCGAGAGTGAGAAATGGAAGACAAAAAGAGCGAGAGGGGAAGAGACGACAGGATGAGAAAGTTAACGGAGGGTGATGGAGGCAGCTGAGTGAATCTCAGCAGTAAATCATCTCAGAGCCGCCCCATCCCTATCTCCTCCTCGCCTCGCCAGGAATCTTTTTCCCCCTGACCTTGTCTGCTGCTGTGTCTGTGAAGAAAAGATGGGGCCAGATTATCTATGATTGGAGATGGCCATTATCTAAACACAATCTTGGAGCCTGGTCCCACTCCTCTAGCTACTGCTGTGAGACTGGAGACCACACTGATGAGAAGAGAGATGATGGGTCATCCAGCAACACCCTCTCCTTTTATTAACTCCGATAAGATGGTTTCAACACTCTCCCGAAATGCCCAGCAACCTCCATCAACATCGACTTTTTCACAAAGTGCCACTCTCTCTGCTGTCTACACGCAGTCTCTTTACCCTACTTGTGTTTTATTGTATACTTATAAAGTGCCAATCCTTGTATTTGTGTGAGCCTTTTTAATATCTTATCCATGCCTTTTGTCTGTCTGGTTTAGTCGTCTTTGTGAATGGGTCGTGTTTGTCCTTGCCAACCTGCTGCTCTTCAGAAGGTTGACCCCAGTCGGGCTGTAAAGAGATTGACAGGACCTAAAGATGTTGCGCACTGTGCTGTCATGCCCCACCCCAGCAGGTAGGGAAGACTGAGGGCCGCTGATTGGCTCAGTCTGGCAGGCCACAGGGGATGGGCTGTCTGGAGGCACCTCATGCCCACAGAAGAGCGCGCTCCACTTTACATGCAAATTAAGCCAAAAGATCCCTCTGTGCCTCTGGACTCGATCGTGCAAAACTCTGAAAAGTCAAGAGGAACCCTGGTAGCAGTTGATATGTGCTGAGAAATACACACAGAGACATAGGGACACATGGACAGACAAAAGAATTCAGAGATGTCCAACGGTGACCATTGCAAGGTATTAATTTAAGGTTTTAAGGCATTGATTTAAATTACTTTTTTTTTTCCAGAACTCCATGATTGGGCCATGCCATTAAAAAGGATGTTTCGAACATAGGAGAAGGATTTAAAATATTTGAACAGAAGCCACAACAGGCAATTTCTCACGTTTCTCAAGTTTCCTCTATTGTTCTGTGTTTTTGAAGATGCATTCCAGAAGGCTTAAAGCTCCCCTCCCACTCTCCTGGGTAAATGGATGTGACAGCTCTAGTGGTATAAGTAATGCATTTACAAACACGAAGCCTGTATCCTCTCATCGTGCCTGATACACTGACAATTTGAATGTTTGTTCTCCTCTGATTATTCCATTTACCACCTCACTATACTGGATAATCCACTTGCATACATCAGATTGGGACCAGCAGCAGAAAGGTTTAGTGTGTGGATGCACATGATTTTCACTGGAATGGGATCTAATTACTTTTGTTAGCTAGGTAGGAACTAAACGTGAGTAAGAAGTGGAATGGGGCTTATTAAGTAGTTGAATATATTGTGTAAAGGCAAAGGGAATACTTGTGGGGCTACAGAAATACAGTTAAACAGATACATATAATACCGGTATATGAAGCAGGTTGTTTTACAATTACATCACTACATTATACGCTTTCTACATTAACTTCAACATTGCACTTAAACTGTGCATATTGGCACTGAATTATACCTAAAGTTTTTGAATTCTTGCATTATATATATTTGGAATTTAACATTGTACTGTTGCTTTATTACAGCAGTTAAACCACTGTGCAGGCAATGTGACCCAAATTGTTGGGTAGGTGATTAAACACAACATTATTGAGTATCTCACATACATTCTGTACTTAAACATCTATCAAGTGGTATTTGTTATTACTAATATTAAATCAAATTATTAACTGTAATTTAAAAGAGCGGCTTATACTGCTGACTCAGTGAAAAATAATGTAATGCTCTGCAGCTTTTTGCATACAGTTGGTCCCTGCTCCTAAGCTCATATGTTACCTCAAAAGAAAAAAAAAAGTTGACATAAATTATAACAGTTAATATTTGTTACATAAGTCCATAGCACTGAAATAGCTTAAGATTGTTTGCAAACCCGGCTGACTAGGTTACCCAGGTCTGGCAACCTCATTGGTGCACCTGCTAACATCATCATGTACAACAGGAGGTGCAGAGATGCAAGCTGCTTTCCTGAATACATTGCTAAGTATTAAACTTTAATCTTGAACCTTCATCCCACTATCCATACAGACTTAATATAGGCACAAAAAAATAGCGTGGGTAGTAAATCTAAACTTGTCTATTCTCTCTATGGGCCATTTCCCATGCTAAGGAAAGGTTCTAGACATATTAATGTTGACCAGCGTTTGCACACTGTGAGATACATGTCTATGTTACATCAGAAACATTTAGTT